GTGAACTGCATGCTGTCTTCCTAACAGTGACGGAAGTACTGAACAATGTTAAGAAACCCTGTGTGGGGGTTTTTACTGACTCATGGGCAGTGGCCAATATCCAACCATATGGTCAGGCAGGAGGGTAACGGAATCCTGGTCTATTAAAGGAATGCCCATATAGGGCACAGCCCTATGGAAATAATTATGGGTATTCATTTTGAGAGAGAGAGAGAGAGAGAGAGAGAGTGAGAGAGCGAGCACATGTGGGGTAGGGGCAGAGAGAGATTGGGAGAGAGAGAATGCCAAGCAGGCCCCATGCTGTCAGTGCAGAGCCTGACGCCGGGCTTGATTCCATGAACCACGGGATCATGACCTGAGCCAAAATTGAGAGTTGGATGCTTGACCAACTGAGCCACCGACATGCCCCCATAATTATGAATTTTAGAAGTGTATTCATGTTGGACATGTCGATACCTATCAGAAGACACGCCCCCCTGGTTTGGAAGATGAGCAGATTCAACATGCAGCTACCTCCATGTGCTCCCTAGAGATGGCCACTTGGGCCCACAAAATGAGTGCATATAGGGGTACTGCAGCAGTGCAGAGATGGGCTGAATCTAGAATCTCTTGCACCCTCTGAGGCACAAAATGTCAATATCAACTGTCCTGCCTGTCAACAAGAGAGACACAGACCACAGGCGGCCATATGGCAGAGCCCCTGATGGGAAGGGCCTGAACATGGCTGGGAACTGACTCATGTGGTAGCCCTGGGGATACAAATGGGTCCTGACAGAGAGAGATACTGACGCTGGACTGGACTTTGCTGGCCTGGTGGTAGATGCAAACACTCAGAGTGATACAGAAAACCACAACAGAAGATATTACACAGCCAACTGTCATTTCTTCAGACCGGGAAATTCACTGCAGAGCTGATAATGTCCAACAACAGGCAGAGAGAAATAGCTTAGAAAAATACTTTTTCTTAATGTTTGTTTTGAAAGAGAGAGCGCGCATAAGCAGGGGAGGGACACAGCAAGAGGGAGAGAATCCCAAGCTCCACACTGTCAGTGCAGAGCTTGATGTGGGGCTCGATCTCACGACCCTAGGATCATGACCCTGAGCTGAAATCAAGAGCCGGACACTTAGCCGACTGAGCCACCCGGATGCTCCTTAGAGAACTACTTTTATAGAGAACTGGAATGGGCAATGAAAACACTGGCCATCTAAAACAGCGGGGGGTGGACCATGCAGATATACAAAGGGCTGGCTTCCTCTAAAGAGGAAGGTGCTTGTCTTTTCTTCCCCAAGTCGCCTCTGCTTTATCCCCCCCCCATCACGAGACCAGGGCTGCAACTACAAGGTCTGGAAGCAGGGATGATTCCTAACTGAGAAACTGTAACCCTGTGTTTAATCTTTATGTCAGAATTCTTAGGGGCCTGATGGGGCAGGATATGCTTCACCCCATCTGCAAAATCAGGGCTAAGGGTGAATGCAGCCGTATTGCCTGGTGATAAAGATAAACCGCTAGTTCTGCATCCTTTTGACCTGACCTTATCTGAACAGAAGGGGACTGAGGGGGACAGGCTTGTTAGACCAGTACTGCGGCCTGTGATCCAGATCAGCGCAGTGGCTGAACCTAATATCCCTTCCAAAGGTGGAAAAGTTTGGGTGTAAGAGTGAAAAAGAAAAGGCAGTAAGGAAACGAATAAATGGGTCCTATAATGAGGGAAATCCAATATTACACTGATACCTCTAGAGAGGCTCAGATCAAGAGAAATGGTCTGAGCTCGATTACACCAGAAGGGGTGAAGCCTGACATTGCTGAGGTCACTCCTGCTTTTGGAACCTGACCAGATCACACAGAAGCCTGCAAACCTGACTGGCCTTGCCCTGGGAGACAGCTGCATACGATGTAAGGATAGAATGAACAGCTATCAATGACTGTAGAGATTTCAGTAGTTCAGCATCTTTTAACTGTTAGCGTTCTTGTGAGGAGGGGGATCCACGTTCAAGGACCACACGATGGACTACCGTACTGTGATATATAAGAAATAGATATTTGGTCATTCAAAGAGACGTCTTGAGACAATACTGGTTGTCATGACTGACGGGGATGGGGGTGGAGGGATGTTACTGCTATCCAGCAGGCAGAGGGCAGGGATGCTGCAAAATGCCCCACAATGCAAAGGACAGCTCACAACCCAAAGAACTATCTAGACCAAGATTTCTGGTTTTTTTTAAAGTTATTTGAAAGGCAGAAAGAGAGAGTGCCCAGGCGCACACTCCACTAGGGGAGGAGCAGAGAGAGAGAATTCCAAGAAGGCTTGATCCTGTGAACCTTGATATCATGACCTAAGCTGAAATCAAGAGTCAGATGCTTAACCGACTGAGCCACCCAGACACCCCTACTCCAAGATTTCAACAGTGCTGAGGCCGAAAAACTCTGTGGGAACTAGATTCTAGTCCAAGAGATAAAGAAACTGAGGCCCAAAGCAGTTAACTCCTTCAAGATCAGTGCCAACAGGGGAGACCCTTCTTGGGAGAACTGGACTCTCATGGGTCTGAGTGCACCTGTGTACTTCTGGTAGAAAAGTGGTGCTCAGCACGCTCACTCAACGGATGGGTGCCAAAGGAATTGTCACCAGTGCTAACTTTCCAAGGAGAGAGGCCGTAATTCACAAAACACAAATATCACGCTGTGTATGTCACTAGTAAAATACCCAGTCTCTAAGGTCCTCTAAATCTGACATTTAATATCTATCCTGTTCACTTTTCAACAAACTTACCACACAATGCAAAACAGATCAATATTTGCTGTTTCATTACAGATATGTGCAAAAGCTCCAAAATTGTTACAGTATCCTTAAAGCCATAAAATTGATCATTTGTATCAACCGAAACCAGAGAAGATCACAACTAAATGTAAAGTAATTCACATTCAAATAAAATCATGAGCATTCAAGTCTTAGTTTGTCCAAGCTTCAATCTGAAAGACTCTAAAGGCAATTTTGAATAGAAAAGAGAACAAATTGGTATTCTTTTATTTTCTATTTTTAATAAAATATTTATCCATATCCACATTTATTGAATTTGTTGTTTACTTTTTTAATGTTTATTTATTTTTGAGAGGGGAGAGGGGCAGAGAGAGAGGGGGACAGAGGATCTGAAGCGGGCTCCGGGCTGACAGAAGAAAGCCTGATGTGGAGCTCGAACCCATGAACTGTGAGACCATGACCTGAGCCAAAGTGGGACACTTAACTGACTGAGACACCCAGATGCCCCAAATTTATACTTTAGAGGAGAAAGAAGTGTTAGCTTGATTGCTAAAAGCACCAGAAAGTGATAAAAATGAAAGTGAATCTTTAAAGATGTTCATACAATTATCTAAAATACCATTTGGACTTTTAAAAATCAAATTTATTATTAAGACCACTTTTACAGTTTCCTAAATTTAGCAAACAAAAGTATCTTTTACTACCAAACTCCAAATTACAAATCAAATTTATTTTTTAAAAACTCTCACACTTGGATCTGTGTTATATGGAATTAAAGAAAAGGAGACCCCGGATGATTAAACTTGAAGATAATTTATGCTAAAACTAATTTTTGCATTGGAAATTTCTTGGCTGTGTCCTAACTGTGATACTAGAACAGTATTTTTACCCCTCACAAAATTAAGAGCACAGACTTTAGTTTGGTGTTTTATTTCACTGAAAACGCAGATGTTTTATCTCCTCGAGAAGCATTAAAATAAAAAGCATGACTTTCAAACTATGTCCTCGTCATAAACGATATTCGGGAAACCTTAGCGTTTCTCACATGAGGTAATGTAGAAGCAGACGGCCCTGCAGACCCACAAGCACAGCTGGGGAGCCCTCACGCTGCATGGCCCGGGGAGGGTCTCCATGCAGACGAACTGCACTCAGAACGGCCGGTCACGAAACTATGCAGCAGTTTGAAACTGATCCACCACCTTCCTCCTTGGGGCTAATACACAGGCATGAGCTTCCACTGACGAAAACCACAAGAACCTTCAAAAAAGCTACAACGGTAGGCTCTTCTTTCGTGTATCATTTTAAATATCGTTTAAGATGTGATTCTCAGTCTTCATAAATGCAAAGGCCACCTCTGATTTTTTATTTTTCAGTTACCTCGAACAACTGTTATCACTGCGTCACTTTGACATCCCTGCAGGTGCTGCAAAGTCAAAAAACCAGGCTTTTTAGCCCCTGATTTTTGACAACCTGGCATCCACAATGCAGCACCAGCAATTCTGGGGGATTCTGCCTGAAATGTGCACCCTTGACGAGCCTAAGAGATTCCTCCCCGTCTCCTTCCCCCAAATCCTTGATTACAGTTCTCTATTTTTTCTAGTCTGCAATACTATTTTTGTGTTTTTCATAGTTTAAATTTAAAACCAATGTTATTAAACAAAAAGAGTATCTATGAAAACTGCAAAACTAAAAAAATCAAAAACATTTTCATATATGCTTTATCACCTAAAAGTGTTAATAACTACTTTTCATGTTAAATTTAAAGTTTAAGTTCCAAAACTCTTGGAACTTATAGAAACTCATACCATTACAAATCAAGAGTTCTTATAAAATAGCAAAGTTGAAATATGATATTTTTAACTCACACGAGGCAGGATCATGAGTCTTAACTATTTATACTACAGGTATCCTAAGATTTCCGTTGCTCACAAGGACCTTGTTTACAGCATCTAACTATTAAGAAACTGAAATTATCAACATTACTTGGGTTTTGACAGAAAAAGAAATAAAACCACTTTCTGAGACTATTTTTAAGAATGTCACTGATACATAGAAACTTTCAGCATCTAATTAAAGATCACTAAGGGTTAAAGACTTGTTCTCTGGCCCCTGCCAAAAAGTCCTCTAAGCTTTTAAATATTGCTTCGAAGGTCTGCGTTTTTACTTCCAGGGAAAAAGAGAGCATTGTCCCGCAGTCAGCAGGCCACCAGCTCATGAACTCCAGGCACCTGGACTTCTGCTAGCATGACGATGCTGCAGTCTGTGCTTCTCCTGCTCCTGTCCGTGCCTCTGATAAAGCTGGCACCACCAGCTCAGCAGGACCCACGCGTCACCTATCACCATGGGACAGATCATTCTGAAGAAACCGTGTTTAGTCAAGATTCTGAGGATAAATATCTGGACAGAAAAAATATTAAGGTACTTTATTTCTACTCTAAATTTAACTTCTGAAACAGTCACCCATTTAGATGCATGTTTTTGTTTTTGTTTTTTTTAATGTGTCTGAAAAGGGGAAAGAAAAAGCACTTGTAATGACTGAAAGTAATTCAAAAAACTGTCTCCAGGATTATACTTTGGGGACGTATGCATGCCTCCCAAATTAATAAAAAGAATCTATGGTAACCAAACAGTATCTATAGCAACCAAAACAAAATTTAAGGAAAACTAAACTTTAAGATGATCTCTTACTGGTTGAGGATTTCTAAGTAATGTTATAAAACGCCCTATATGTGCATATTAGATTGCCTCCAAATAAAATAGGAGAAATTGTGTATTAGGAGAAACAATCTTGGATTACCAGCTTAAGATTTATTAATTTAGGAAGAAGTGGTTCATACCACTTCTGAAATAATTACATGCTTATTTTGGGGTCTATAGCATTTCACTTACATATGCCAACCATGTAAGTTAGCAAAAAATGAAAAACTCCTTAAGGTGGGGCTTGATTTTTAATCAGTTTCAACGACTCAGACTCTTATCAATTCCTATCAAGTGACTGTAAATTGTCCTTGAGTTAATATTCTACAGGGATGACTTCATATCGCATCTTTCGTACTCCACTTGCACAGGCTGAGTAATTACTTGCGGTTTTCTTGGCACGCAGAAATGAACGCTGGGTAAGGAAAAAGTTAATGCAGCACATAAGGATCTGGTCCTGCCTACGGTGTGTGCGTGTGCGTGTATGTGTCTCACATACACAGACAGAATGGAAAATGAAAAATGCAGCCAAATATATAACAATGTTGACTGCTTTTCTTCAGTGCACAATGACTAAATGTTAACACTGTAATTTCTTTCAATGGAGTTGGTTAATATGCTGAGTATTATTTTTGCCCAACATTAAGAGAAAAAAGATAGATATCACTAGTCATAGCTCCAGATTTTTAAAAAAGGCCTATCGTACCAATAAGCTATTGGCTCACATGGATGATTAGAATCTATCATTCAGTTAAAAAAAAAAAAAAAAAAAAAAAAAAAAAAAACCTTCAAAATTCCATGGTCCCTAAAAAGTAGCTAGTAAGTTCTTTGCTTCTTTTCTCTACATTGCTTTAGAAGTCTATGCTCTTAATACAAATATAGGGACTAAGGTAATTGTGGAGCAGAGTAGAATTCAACAGTACTTAAGTGGAGGGGCTGTTCCAACAGAACCCACTTGGGAGAATAAAGGAGTCAAGATGGACATGAAGGGTAACATGATTCTGGAGGGCACAGACTGGGGCCCCATGCAACCTATGTTAGTCTAATCGCAGAAAATGTTCTCTCCCAAGATAGGAAAGGGTGATACAGACCCCCAGAGCAAACAGTCTGGACTGGGGGTCCAAATGGGGTAGGCAGAGGAGAATAAAAGGGCTCCAAGTGCCAGGGTGTTGTTCAGGCATGAGGTAATGAAGGGTCACTTGCAGAAGAGGCCAAAAGCTTACTCTATGTCCAACACATGCGACGTGACTAGTGCCTCAATCCTGTTGAACATGGTAGAATCTGGTATCAGGAACTCAATTAAGACAAGACAACACATGATCCCAGTGTTGTGGGATCCAGCCTTGCATTGGGCTTCATGCTGAGCGTGGAGCCTGCTTAAGATTCTCTCCCTCTCTCCCTTTGCCCTTCTCTCCAGTTCTCTCTCTCTCAAATTAAAAAAGAAAGAGAAAGAAAGAAAGAAAGAAAGAAAGAAAGAAAGAAAGAAAGAAAGAGAAAGAAAGAAAGAAAGAAAAAGACAAGACCATAAAGAATAATTAAGAGACCTACCCTACATGAAGATGGTCTCATTTCAGGCTGCAACTCAGAAAAACTTTCATTCTGTGTTGGAGAGTTCCCTCCAGCTCCCATTTGGAATTTCAATATATTCAACATATAGAAGGCAAAGGCACTGAGATAGGGTTTTGGAGATAAAAAAAAAATTAAAAAGACCTGGTTCTTTTACTCAAGGAGTTGACAGTCTGGAGTACAAACAAGGTAAACAAATATTTACCTTATAAGTTTAATGAACAATACATAAAATCTTACTGTAGCACAAAAGAAATGCCACTATGACCATGAGAAGGCAGGTGTTGCCTGTGACTCTCAGTTTTATAGTCAAAATCAGACTTTATCACACCTGATAACAAATTTTTATTTTTCAAATAGGAAAAAGAAACTGTGATATTACCCGATGAGAAAAGTGTTCAGTTACAAAAAGATGAGAGTGTAACACCACCATCCCCCAAAAAAGAAAGTGACGGTAAGTATGCATACCATGTCATCTCGTGTCTCACAAAGAACAGTCATAAATAGGTTATTATGGAACTTTATTCCTTAGAGTAGTAAAAAATGGCCTTAGGATACAGTAAATTCAAACAGCGGAATTTTATCTCCAGTGATAACGTCAGCTGGTATGTTGGGAGTGCACATCATTTGCCATCCCACATTTTGGTTTTTTTGTTTTTTTTTTCAATGTATGAAATTTATTGTCAAATTGGTTTCCATACCACACCCAGTGCTCATCCCAAAAGGTGCCCTCCTCAATATCCATCACCCACCCTCTCCTCCCTCCCACCCCCCATCAACCCTCAGTTTGTTCTCAGTTTTTAAGAGTCTCTTATGCTTTGGCTCTCTCCCACTCTAACCTCTTTTTTTTTTTTTTCCCCTTCCCCTCTCCCATGGGTTTCTGTTAAGTTTCTCAGGATCCACATAAGAGTGAAACCATATGGTATCTGTATTTCTCTGTATAGCTTATTTCACTTAGCATCACACTCTCCAGTTCCATCCACGTTGCTACAAAGGGCCATATTTCGTTCTTTCTCATTGCCATGTAGTACTCCATTGTGTATATAAACCACAATTTCTTTATCCATTCATCAGTTGATGGACATTTAGGCTCTTTCCATAATTTGGCTATTGTTGAGAGTGCTGCTATACACATTGGGGTACAAGTGCCCCTATGCATCAGTACTCCTGTATCCCTTGGCCATCCCACATTTTGAATGACAAACATGGAACAGGAACATTCAAGAATAAACAAAGTACAAGTTTAGCCTCTACAGAGTGTGCTTCTGTCTATATAAAATCCCTTCAAGAAACAGTTATTTAACATCAACTATTTACAAATACTATGTACAGCCTGGGGGTAAGGGAAATAAAATGTAATTCTTAACTTCAAGAAATTCACAGAAGACATAAAGATGGCTTATACATGAATAACTGTAATATACATTTTAATTAAAACAACAGAAAATGTACAAAATAACACAGTCCTCCTCAATAACTCCTATCTATTTGGTTTATTTTTGTTCTATCATGGAACAGCATTTCACAGGACATGTCACAGGACAACATGAAATAAAATCACACACTAATTAGTAAGACATCCCTTGCCCTTGGATAGGATGACTCAGCATCGTAAAGATGTCAGCTCTTCCTAAATTTGTAACAATAAACTGCTTTAAAGAGCTGGTAAGGAGGATTCTCAAGTTCATGTAGAAAAATCAAACCTGCATGGAATCAGGTTTCAGGGAATCACTGAAAAATGGCAGGTATCTGCAGAAACCAGACATACTACATTAGAATATACTTCAATGTCTCTATACTTAAATACGTGTGATACTGGTATGTGAATAGCATACAAAATTCGGAAAAACAGAAACACATGTAGAAACTTAGTATATAATAAATAAGGCATCTTAAATCACTTCTGAACCAAAGATGGTATTTTTAAAGATTTTATTTTTAATCTCTACCCATCATGGGGCTCAAACTTACAACCCTGAGAACAAGAGTCACACGTTCCACCGACTGAGCCAGCCGGGAGCCCTACAGATGGTATTTTTTAAAAATGGTGTTGAACCCTGAATGTAATATCACACTGTATGTTAACTGACTGGAATTTAAATAAAAACTTAAAAAAACTTTAAAAATAAATAAAATATGTTGTTGGACAACTGAATAGTCAATGGAAAAGGGATACTGTTAGATCCACACTTTTCACAGAAAAATAAACCCCTCCAAATAAATTAGGGTCAAAACGTAAAAAGTGAAATGATGTAAATACTGGAAGATAAACTGTGTGTGCGATGCCTCATAATCCAGAGAAAATAATAGAAAAGATCAATAAATTTGATCCCATGAAATGAAACTTTTCCATGGGAAACAGCATCATAAATGAAGTCAAGCACAACTGAAAAATGAGAAAAATAGAAAAAAAAGTTAATATCTCTAATTTATAAAGAACATATAAAAAGCCAGAAAAAAGAAAATGGCAAAAAATCCATTGGCAAAACCAGAAGATGAATAGGCAATTCACAAAGTGATATAAAAATGGCCCTTAAACATGAGAAGACGTTCAATCTCACACATACAGAAATGTAAGTTTAAATTATATTGAGACACAAAGATTTTTAACCTATCTGATGGACAAAAATTAAAACTGTGACATTAAACCAATATAATCCATTGGCAAGGCCTTGGGGTGTCAGAGACCCTCATACACTGCTGGCAGAAATACAAGTAAGTACCATGCTTTTGGACAGGACTTTGGCAATATCTAACAAGGCCGGTATGCACTTACTTTGTGACGTAGCAATCAACTTCTAGGAATTCACCCTAGAGATACACCTCCACGAGGGAGAAAATACATATGCAAACATCACTGGAACACTGCCTGAAAACACAAAACTCTGGCAACAATCTAACTGCCCAAACACTGAAGGGAGGTTGAATAATGTACGGCAAGTCCACGCAAGGGCATACTATGCAGTTGTAAAAATAAACAAGGAAGATCTCTATGAACTAACATGAAGTGATTTCCAGAATATATTATACAAGAAAACCCAAAGTGCAAAGGAGTAGCTACAGTATGCTGCCTTTCATCCAAGAAAGAAAGAGACACAAGAAAATAAACATGCATCAGCTCACTTGTGTGAAACGACATTCAAGAAAGGTAATTTAATCGTGGCAACTAGTTACCCACAGGTTACACACGGGACCAGGGGTGGCAAGGAGGGAGAGATGGACGTTGGTGGGGTGGGGGAACGGGAGTGTGGAACTTCTCTAAGTATACACTTTCTCTGTAGATTTGGTTTTATTTTTTTTTGTAAGATTTTATTTATTTACTTAAGTTTATTTGTGTGTGTGTGTGTGTGTAAGAGAGAGAGAGAGAGAGCACAAGTGGGAGAGGGACAGAGAGAGAGACAGAGGAAGACACAGAATCCAAAGCAGGCTCCAGGTTCTGAGCTATCAGCACAGAACCCAATGCGGGGCTCAAAACCACAGACTGTGAGATCATGACCTGAGCCGGAGTCAGACGCTCAACCAACTGAGCCACCCAGGCGCCCCCGTAGATTTGGCTTTGAACAAGGTTATAGTTCATATAGGTAAGCAATTACATTTATAAATAAAATATACAAGGATAAGATAAAAAAAAAACTGGCATACAAATAGAAACAATTTCATTTCAAATGAGTAACACACTAAAGTGAAAAGAAAAATTAACCCAAGTAACCCTTAACTCCAGGCTATAGACAAAACAGAATGGATAAACATTGACATTCCAGCAAGCAGGTTTCTTTTCCACGGCGATGCAGGTCCACAGCGATGAAACCCCTTAATGTGAGGCCTAGCACTGAGTGATGTATATACGCTGGATAACGAGAGCCAGGTTTCTCGGTCAGAGAAGGTGCTACAGACGTGGTGGGGGAAGCCCAGAGTGAACACTGTGGAGTTGGACTGGAAGCAAGAGATCGGCACCAACTCGTGGTCTGTATGCAGATACAGAAATAGGTACAGGCACGCCTTGTTCTGCTGCGCCTTCTTCATTGCACTCCACAGACACTGCATTTTTCACAAATGGAAGGTTTATGGCAACCGTGTGTGGAACAAGTCTTTTGGCACCATTTTTCCAAACTTGTTCATCATTATATTTATTTCGGTGATCTGTGATCTTTGATGTTACCATGCTAAGCTGAGGCACCGCGAGCCAAGCCATATAAGATGGTGAACTTAACTGATAAACTGATAAACTGTTCTGTTCTGGCTGCTCACCTGTCCCCCCCTGCATCTCTGTCCCCCTTCCCTGAGACA